CTGTCATCAGATGTGTTATTTTGGTTAGTAGATTGATTTCTCACCAGGTCTGGTCATATTTGCTCTGCTAATTTATGCTGCTTTTGGTAGATTGTATTTACCTTTGTTTAAAAGATCTTGCTGCATCTGTATCTCTAAATTAGTGGATTGTTAGCTGATCACCCCAGCCATTCATGTCATTTTTTCCATTGCAGCTTCATGTTAACTTATACTACTTAGTAAATCTGTCCCAAAGTGTTAGGCCAAAATAGTTCATCAGAATAGTTTCACAGGGTTTCGGCATTCTGCACTGCTGCCTGCTGGATGAATTGACTGCCATTTGCACAATAAATCTCCCTCATTTGGTAATGATGGAGAGTGCTGTCTAGAACACAAGAGTTAAGCTGTGGGATCAAATGACGGTGAAGGTGCCGTCATACGTTTCATATACTCGTGAAAACATTAACAGTTTCCTCTTTTTCTGAATGTCGTTATCCTCAATGAGACTATTCACATACGCGTAGACAGTTTTCCTTATATGATAAAGATGATCACTTACAACAAGTTTCTGCTGATGTCCAGTCACCCTGTCCACTCAGGAGAACCAATGTGTACCTTCAAAATGTCCCTGATTCCCCTCATTATAGGGCTCAAACTTCAGGTTGCAGGTTATAGATAGATCATTACCCAGCAGATCCAGTCTGCTACATGTTAGACTCATGATAGTAGCAAAATGTTGGTATGTATTACTCACTGATTTTCAGTAGTTATTTGTTTATGAAAGTGCAACACATAAGGGAATATCCCTTTTAATATTCTGCTTTTACTAGGACATCACTGGGAGGCAAATGTCTATATTTTAGAGAATACAGAATGAATAAAACCACAGTTAAGCTGGCATAAACAACAAAGATCATGAAGATATGCATACATTATCTCTGATATTACACTAATATACAAACATTTGAGAATAATACCATAAATTCACTGCTGAGTAGCTTCAACAACAACATTTTAAGATGGAGTCAGTGGCTGCAATTTAAGTGTTTGCAATTTGCATTGTGCAGGTCTTTATTTAAGGGCTTTTTTTCAATAAGTGTACCACCTACTATTTCTATGTTAAAAGATGTTTTTGGGAAAATGCACCTATTATCTACTAAATGTCAAACTTGATAGCAGTAACCAGGAAAATACTCAATACCATTTTCAAAACCACGGTGAAAAAATGTAAATTTAAAAAAAAATACCAAAAAAATTAGAATACTACAAACAATAACATCAATGACGAACTTATTTTTAAGCTGACTAATGCAGCGCAGAAAAATAGACTAACATAACCATGTCTGTGAAGGTTCTCAGTCATAGTCTAAGGAGCCTGGAAAGTAAAGCGTCTGGACTTCTTTAAGTTTCCTTGAAGACGTTTCACCTCTAATCTGAGAAGCTTCTTTAGTTCTAAGAGCAACTGAGTCCCAGATTTTAAGCCCTATGGGGCTTAAACAGGGTCCCCAATCGGGTCATGGATTCCCTATTGATCCTCTGCCTAATCACAGGAGACAAGATGTGAAAATGGGCTGGGGTCACAATCGGCCAAGGTTTCACTCTGGGACTTTAAGAGAAACAAGAGAAGCACTTTTTAGACACAAATAACTGTCTCATCCTGTTAAATTAGCCCTAGCTTTTAAATTATAGATTGACAGGGACAATGACGTTTCTTGTCTAGCTCCAGCGTTAACGTTATCATTTTATTATTATCCGTAGCCGATAGCTGCTGCCTTAATGATGACTTAAGAGATGTCTGATGTTAATGGCAAAGCTGAATGTGTGAGCCAGCCAGATTCATTTGTATGAAAGCAGGAGCTTTTTCGCTTCGCAAACTTCCTCTTAAAGTGTTCTTCACCGTTGTGAACATCAACTACTTCAGCTGCTAGTGAGTGTGGAGGGGCTGGAGGAGGCAAAGACGGTGCTGTTAGTATTGAAACTGCTGAAAATGAGCATCTAATTCCATGAAAGAATTTTTGGTATTCATTAGTATTTCTTTTACTAATATTTTAAGGACTTCAGTATTCGAGATATTGGTTTACACAATCGTGATACCAACAATGAGTCATTCTTTGTTCATAGCATTTGTGTCTCATTTTGTTTTGTAAAGCATTGCCTGCTGAGCTCTCAGAGAGTTCTATAATTGTTCCCTGTGATCTCTAATCTCTTCAGTCCTGCCTTTGAAACATACATACATATGTTTAAGGAGCTGCCAGATTTACTGAGCGCTACAGAGAATGTTTGAATGCAGTCTCATCCCACTCAGCGTCTCTATCTAAACGCAGCCTCTCTGCTCTGGTCTACTCGGCTGCTGCTCTGCATATTTTTCATCTTCTCTTCAAGCTTCAGCTCCTTTGTGTCATCCCACAGATGTCCATTTCTCTGGAGTCTCGAGCTTTGCCTCTTGCTCTACCCCTTAACAAAATACAGCAGCTGCTGGGCAAAAATTCTTCGGCTGAATCTGCGTAGGCCTGGGTATGTCCTACTACTTGGCTACTTGGAAGTGTCAGCAAGATATACAGCGAGAGCCCCACAGAGCCCTGATAGATTTGTGATATGTGACAGATAAGTTTTACTCTTTGCATTTTCTGTTCATAACAAACACATTTCATAAGCTTTACTTTAAGTCTTTCGCGTGCTTACTTGCTTTCTCGTGAAGTCAAATGAGGAAACTGAGGATGAAAAGAAGTCTGTTTCCATTGTTTTAGGTGTAGCCTTACAATCAATGTCGAGACATGAAACTCTGTCTTCATTTAAAAAAGCCCTGTGATCACATTTCCAAAAAATATCAAACATTTTCCTTACACACGGGGTAATTATTATTTCTTTTAGGTAGAGTCATATTTGTTAATGCAGTTTTGTCATTTCTGGTAACATTTTGAAGATGGCTAAAGGGTATTTGGTGGTTAATAAATTGCCTGTGATCACTCACAGGGAGACACGGGACCACTAACCATGTGACCTTAACTTGTCCATCTTTTTGCATGTGTGACAATTGTGGTGAAAATGTAAGGTCAATTAAATAAGGCCCCAGGCTTTAAGACTGTGTCTATTTGGCAACCACTCGCGTGAGGGGAAACATGAGAACAGTATTCCAGTTGAGAGTGGTTAGTGGATGTGGGTGCTGGGAAAAACTGCTAAAACCTAACTCACCTTAGAGGAGACGTTTGCCTTCAAAGTAAAAAGTGCAGCTATGGTGGGTGCAGCACTGAGGCTCAACTTTTACTTTTAAGGAAACCTTCTCCATTTAACAGCTTATTAGGGAATATTTGCAGACAAACGTAAAAAACTACAGGCAATTATGGCAACCTGTTAGCAGCCAAAGTGACCACTCTGAGGTTGTTTGCTGCAGGAACCAGCAGGAACCCGCAGCTCTGAGAAACCACTTCCACGAATAAACATTTTTCAGGTCCAATAGTTGTGACGGGTCCAATATAAGTCTTGAGCAATGTGCACAGGCTGTTATGGAGAAACTTCATTCCTTATTACCCCAGTGCTGCTACATTGGTAATGATAGGATTAGGATTAGTAATAAAACTATAAGTGGCCGTTTACTTTCGATCTCTTTCCAATGTGATCCCGTTGTTACCAAAATTTAAGTGTTTTTTCCCCCAGAATTTTCAACCATCATAATTATTATTGCTGTCGAAGCCATGAAGCCATAATTTGCATTAATTCTCTGTATTTATAAACGTGCTTCCTCAAGGCAGATAATTCTCCACCAGCAGTGAAACAGCTGAAGGCGAGGGTAATCTTGTCTTTGTTAACTGGGTATTTCTAGATTGAACTTTTAGACCACTGAGTTAAAACTCTCCCTCCATACGTCTGCAGGGTGACCCATTATCACTATTCTGCCGAGAGGCAACAATTACCAAACAATGTGCCCTCTGCTGCACGTTCATTTTGGAGAGAGAAAAAAAGTTGATTCTTACAGCTGATAAGAAAAATTAAACGGTTACATTAGCTGTTATGTTCAGAAGAGGACAAACGTTCTCACATTCATATGAACAGACAGATAATTATCTTGTGCATATTTTTATTATCTTGTATTATTATAATTGTCACTTACCCTCCATTTACTGCAGAGAATCCTGAACTTTTAGCTGTGTGGAACGCTTTCTAATCGAAGCTTTATAATGTCTTGTTAGCTTAGTGTGTGAGTCAGCAGGGCTCTTGTGCGTTTCACCCTGGCTTTGCATTGGAAAGTGTTCACCATCTTAAAGCCTCTTTCCATGCTTGAGATGGTGCCATAATTCCAGAGCCTGGATGTTGCCAGATAATTGGCGTCCCCTTACATGGATGTGAGGAGTGCAGTGACGAATAACAGAGTAAGAGTATGATCAAACTGGACCCCAGTACTGTCGCCACCACCCATGTGATATGCAATAATCACTCCAGTGGGGACTGGCTGCTATTTCAAGCTAGTTTTTCAGAAAGAAAAAAATATGTGAATAACCCACAGTCAGATTTAACTACAGTTTATTTATGGCAATGAATAAAGTTACAGATTAAAGCAGAATGAGAAGCTTCTCTGGCATGTGTGAAATCACAGGTGTCAGTGTCATCAGCATACTGACGCTCAAAGCTTTTCATATGCAAAAGAGACTGCCAGAAATTTCCACCTCACATCCCTTAACCCTGCTACTCCACAACTCCTTACTCATCTGCAATTATCTTCATGTTTGATTTCTGCGTGTGTGTGTGTGTGTGTGTGTTTATTTTGTTGTTGTTATCTATGGCCTCTCAATTCCCCTGATGGATATGAAACTGCTGAACATGTTTAGTCAAAGCAGCCACAGTGATGGGCTTAATAAAGACGCGGGGAGTGGAGAGGAGGAGCTGCGGTCTGGCTGCAGCTGCTGCATTGGTTGCCTGCTCAGCAGTGGGAAGGGACTGAATGAGCAGAGAGAGAGAGAGAGCAGGAGGAAGCAAGAGGGAGGGAGAGAGAATTGGGGGAGGAGGTGAGTGCTCTTGTTGGGAGATAGGGAATGCCCGTTAGTTGCGTCTGCCGATAATAGCACATCAGCCAGTGCACTCCTATTGGGAGAGCAGAGCACAGGCAGAGCAGAGGGACCGAGCTGCTGAGCAAAGAATAGTACACTAGAGTAGACAGGCACACTCGGAAAGAGAGCGATACTGGCACAATCAGAAAGAAACAGAGAGTGAGAGACCCAGGGAAGAGAGAGCGCATCAGCACACATAGACAAGAGGACTGAACAGGCGCAGGGCAGTGGAAAGAGGAGAGGAGGGACAGGGGGAATCAAAGTTACCAGGTCAGCAAGAGAACGTGGAAGTGGAGCAGCTGAGACTCTCGGGAGGAGGAGAGTGATATTACAGGACAGGATAGAACAAGTGCTTTAACTTCTTCACAGAAAGACAGTCCTGTCATAAGGCGAGGGTAATGCTCCTCACAGGAACCTTCTGCACTTCTACTTTAGGATTATCACAGCAAGAGAGCTTCACCAAGCAGAGGACACTTAAACCTGCCAGAGGTGCCTGAGCAGTTCAGTTCTACACAGGAGACCTTTTCATCCATCCGTGGGCTTTCAGGTGGATGTAGTGTTGCTGTGTGGATTTTATCCTTTATTGCTTCAGAAGATGAAGCAGTGAAGATTTGGAGGGCAAGTTGTTCTGTCCTATCATCTCTGAGACTATGGTAGACTGTGTGTCAGAGAGCCCCTCATCAGCAGCTGCAGCCCTAGAGTATGGAGAAGTCCAGCAGTGAGGAGTCAGCCATTCACCGTAGCCCTTCTGTAGACAGCCGCGAATCCGATTTTGCTCAAGCCTCCACGTCTGGCCGCCCTTTCGGTGGCCGCGGCTTCACTGCCGGCGCTTTCTACGGCTCCACGGGGCCACGCAAAAACACACAGCAGGGGCAGACTGGAGCTGCAGCTGACGCCAGCGCGGGAGACAAGACTAACAACAAGTACAGCTCACCCAAGGGCAGCAAATACATAGTCTTTTACCTGGATCTATCCTTTGTGTTCCTTTTAGAATTTAAGAAGTGCAACATGGCAAGAGGCTGCCTCTGCTGCTTGAAGTATATGATGTTCATCTTCAATCTCATCTTCTGGGTAAGTGACTTTATATTTTCTTCTCCTCTTACTTGATGCAATTTATACAAATTCTGAGCGTCTTAAAAGATGATGCTGCCAAAGTAATTCTGGCTCGAGTGATTCACTACTCGTCGTTAGCCATATCATATGCGTGTGATAAGTTATTCAAAATGTTCATCAGGAGACATTACTTTCTGACAAAATGATGGCTGTCAGGGCAGTCATGCGTCTCTAATTACATCAGGGTGTTTATGCGTGTTACTCTGTGCATGTTGCTATTCCTGGATGTCATGACAGTGTCTGTGGCATTGCACCAGGTCTCCTTTTGTGTTTTTCTTTTTTATTCCTTTCGGTTCGGGTGGGGGTTGGTGGAAAAAGGTCCTGGGGGTCAGTAAAGTCAGTCTTTCACATGGTCGCATGATTTACAGTGAACATGAAGCTGCAATGCTGCTTTTGGTATGCAAGGGAAAGACTATATCCTCCTGCAGGGCATTTACACAGATGAGCTGCACAATAATGGCAAAGGGATTTTAGCTGAGTTGGTCAGCGATAGTCTAAATTGATCTGATGGATCGTCATTCCTCTTGACTCACAGTATGATAAATTGTCAACAGAATTTATTCAGTTTAATATAATAAATTCTATCGCAGTAACCTAGCCAGCATGTGGTGGTCTCCACAGTGTAACCAAGCATGGGCATTTATGGTAAAAGTGGGCATCCCTTGAATGTTTACAGACTGGATTATCGGGCTTATGGGTTATGAGGCCAAGCCTTTTGTGTGAATGCATTGAAGCATGAAGCGTAAAAACATCTCAACACTGGGGAATCAACTCAGGCCCACCATGTCATGTGGGTTGATAGCCCAGCTAACTGGGACAACAGAGTGGGCATTAACTAGAGGCCAGCTGCGTTAACACATGTATACACAAACATGCACCACACAAGCTGAAATCTACATCACTGTCAAATTTATATGTAGAAAAATGGACAGCTCAGACCTTTCTTCATCTTGAAGGCTGCACCTTCATCTTAGTCTGAGATCATGTGCAGGTCCATAGAGGCGGGTGTGATAGTGATTGGCAGAGGTATATATACCCAACTAATGATGCTAATATTTGTTTTAGGGGATGATAGGGTCAAAAAAAGCTTATTTGATGATGGAGTCATTATTGCAGACGCTGCCTTAGCCTTATGTGAGCACCCATTCTCAACTCGGTCAGTATGTGTATTGACTTCACCACTGTTAGAGTTAAGGATGGCATTTTAGAGCAGTTTCCCAAATTGATTTTTGGGTGCATGAGTGATCGATCAGCTGTTTTTCATTACAGCATAATGCATGTCTTTCCATACTAAAAGCTTTATTGAAACAGATGGAGGCAGCTCATTTAATAGCGAATACTGTGTTTAATTAATTTCAAAAAATTAAACAAGCAAATTGTTGAAATTATAAATTGGCTAGGGAAACAAAATGCCATTTGAATTGCTGCTCTTACTCTTTTACATCCTGTTAATTAATAGCCAAACAGAGTTTATTATTTATTTTTGATTAAATGTTACAATTTGGCACAAATTACAGGCTATTCAGGGCACTCGTTGGATGAAACTAAAGTCTGACCTCTTCTTATATTACCAAAGAGGCTATACATAACTCATCCCTTAAAAGCGACTTTCCTGATCAACATATGTGTTTATATGCAGATTTGTATAAACCAATATCAGACATAAGAAGTCACATTTATAATAATAGTTTTTGTGAATTTGCAGTATTTTTCTTGGACCTTTTACTTGGATATTATATTTCAAAGCTGTATTTGACTTCACATTGACACAATGGCTATGTCAGCTGTATGTCAGTTCCAGCCTGCTCATCTCAAATGATAGATCAAAAGCTGCCTAGGTCCTTATGCTCATCACAGGGGAAATGTATGAAACAAAAGCATGAATGAAAGTGTTAATTTACTGCAAACAAACCTTGCTACTAATAATCAGCTTCTGCATTAAGAAGTGGGTGAAAACTAGACTTTAGATTAAGCTTTTGGTCTTAGATTCATGTGAAACTTAGCTTGTTGACCTTGATGCATTATAGTGACTGTAAAAGCATGTAAAAGATAGAGAGCTGTAAATGCACTCTCTTCAGTGAGAGTGGAGCGTCTCTTATGGTGTGTGTGTGTGTGTGTGTGTGTGTGTGTGTGTGTGTGTGTGTGTGTGTGTGTGTGTGTGTGTGTGTGTGTGTGTGTGTGTGTGAGAGAGAGAGAGAGAGAGAACTTAAGTGTGGAACTTTCTCAGCATAACTTATACCCTGCTGCGAAATAATTGAATTTTTACTCTGATAATGTTCACTTAATGAATGCCCACCATGCACATTCCAATCTATTGCTGCGGCAGATTGATACTCTTGTTTTCCTCCTACTACTCAATCATATTAATAGGAGTTTAATCAGTGTCTCATGGGAGAAGGGTGGGAGTGAGGATGCAGCATGTGGCTGCAAGGTCTCAGTGTATCTCCACGTGACAGCTTACTTGAATGGCACTCCAGATTTTCAGGCCGCAGCGCACCAATTTGAAGGTTAGTGGAGCTGTAAATAAAAGGTTCACTTGTCACTGAAGGGTCAGAAAGGGGTGCCCGAGTACTCTGAAACGGAGGGGCGAGGGTGAGAGGCATGATGTATCTCGAGACCCCTGGGACTGTGCCACTCTGCATCTGACACTCCAGGAATCGTATGGTTACCGAAGCTGGTAGAGCGGCGTGCCTCTTAAGTTCTGACATCTCGTCTCAGGATTGAAAGGGGAACTGCAAGCTGCGGTAACCTGACACCAGGTGCAGCGGGGGTCTCTTCTTTTTAACTGTGCATGAGCACATTTGCTGTGCACACACACATCCTTGGAAGTGCATTCACCAGCCACACACAGGCCACTTCATGGAGCTTACACTAGTAACTTAAAACACAAGGTAAACATTGACAGGCACTCCAGACATCTCCATACATTCGCTCATCCTCAGGCCCCCCAGCAGTTGTTCACGACCATCTGGCTTCTCTTCCTTATAAAGGATTAGAAGAGTCTGAGCTGCAGGGGGGAGTTTCAGGCAGATTAACGCAGTATTGAGTTGTGCGGTTAAGGATCATAAGCGCAGTTCCTTCTACGCTAAAGCCAATATCATCAAAGCAAATGGGCATTGTGGCGCTACGTGTGACAAAGTCTGGGGTTTAGTTGGCAAGACGATCTGTTGTTCTCCAGCACACATGCTCTCAAGGTCTGTTTGACCATCCCGATAAGATGATTGACATTAAGCCCTATTGGTGTCAGCCTTGAGAACATATCGGTGTTTGTGTTCTTGCTCGGAGCAAGGATTTTAGCCTTAACTGTGCAATGTGTTCTCTGAACTCACAGTAAGCGCTCTCAACTCTCCCTGAGGATTTATTCCAACAAATTACAACAGCATTGCTCTCAAGCTTATTCTAATTGCTTAAGATATAGTAGGTTGTACGCTAAATCTGAGCTCTGGCATTATCACACCATATCAAAAAGTAGATCCTCATTTGATATTCATATTTAAAGGGAAACTGTCAGTTCAGCAGTCTTGTCCTACAAGTACAAGAGGGGTTCTAGTATCAAAGCTACTCCTTTGTTAGCGGAGAAATGTGTTTAGCATTCATGAATTCTTGTGCTTACTTAGTGGATCGCTGTAGGATTTATAAACCATTTGGTCCAAAGCAACAGAAGATTCGTTTTCCTATCGATTTACCGAATTCGACACTCAAGGTTTCATATATGCTTGCGCTTTGATGCTACAAAGAGAAGCAGTATTGACAGACTCCAGGTGGTTTGTTAGAAGTGTGCATATAAGCGTACTGACACATTTTTATTTGGTTTTGTTGAACTCGTAAAAAAACTCACACAAGCTGTCCCTTTGCTTACTCAGACTGGAACCCCCCTGAGGTTTCAGTCTAAGGTGCTGAAGCAGTGTGCCTATTTTTCATTCTCCATATCGGCACATGAAAAGTTCAGTAATTTTTAATAGCTCGAGAGCTTGTGTTGTAAAAGACTTTTCGTTTTCTTCCTCTTTTTCACAAGTCACACAGCTGAACTCCATCAGTCACTGCCAGGTGAAACAAGGATTTGGGCACAGGAAAATAGATGAGAGTTGAATGAAAAACTGTTTTTTGAATTGACGGTGGCTTTAAAGTGGCAGAAAGCAATATCAATCTTGGCCGGTGTGTCTTTTGAAATCTTACACCTCCAAATATTAATTTTATATTGTATGTATCAGTGTCGTTTCGCTTATCAATACAGCCAATTACAAATTATTCATCTTATATATCAGGCATTCATACTGTATAACATGCTTGGATATCAACAGATGTGTCATGGCCAAAATGTGCAGCCTGCAAGCTGGCCTGTCAGTTTCCCTGTAGCATTTACATAAAGAACATCACATGTGCATTTTAATTATTTGGAGTCTTGTAATTAGCATCCCCTGTAGATTCCTGGGGCTTGATTCACACTGGCTGACCTGCTTGGTAAATATCTCCATGTGCCTGCCTTTGTCCAGCAGATCGTCTAGGGAGATCACTCTCATTTACACGTCTCTCTCTCACACAGGCTGTTTCGATTTCCCGGCCGTGTTGTGTAGAGCCGCTGAGCTCATTAGCTCTTGTTGCAGATCAGCTGGGGAATGGAGCTACTGTGTTTCACTCTAGGGGGGCAAGGTAATAGAGCGGGAGATTTTGAGGTGCATTTTACGCTTGGATGCAGTCGGTAGGTATTGCCTTTCCATGGGAATTGAGATTCTTAACCAATCACTTAGTGCTGTTGGTTGGTGATTATAACACACAAGTAGCCAAAAAAAGGCTACATTGTATTACAAAGAGTCAGCAACCTTATATAGGGAGTGTGGAATAAACCTGCTCCACAAAACATGTAAATGCCATTCTTTTTATATGAAGCGAGTCTTTCTTGTGGAGAGATTACATGTAATAGTTGATGTTTGCTACTCGGTTTGCTCAAAGCGACGGGG